CAACTTGAACGAAATCACCAGCGAATTTGAATATATACGTTCACTGAATAGCACGGCATGAAAAGAGACAAAAAGCAGATAGACTGACAGTGAAATTCTGATGTAATGCGATACTGTGAAATAAAAGCAATTTCATTAATTACCTATTTCTGGCCATGTCGTATAACGCTTAAAATGTCGCTTTTTCAAGAGATGCGCAGACATACGTTCCTGGTCAGTTTCAATAACCTCAGTTTCTTGATCATTCGCCTGATCGACGGTCGACGGAGATTCATCCAAAACCAAACTTTCTTTGGCATCGTTCGCCACCTTCGGAGCCATGGATTGGGTGTCAGAAATCTCGTTTCTATCAACAGATCGATTTTATGACGAGGGCGAAACAGAAACAACAGAAATCAGACCCGGTTGCTGACTGTTCATAAGCAGTATCTTGCTCTTGACGTTCGGCTGGCTCTGGCTTTCTACTTTCTTCCTGTCTGAAATTAAATATTGCATATATAAACTTTACAGACTTGTTATAAAAAGAAATTAGAATAAATCAAACCCCGTCGGTGGCTGTTTACTGATATCGTCTCGTTTTCCGGATCTGATGGGTTTCGATTCCATAGCTTCGTCTTGTCTTAAATGAAACATGAATGGTATCAAAGGCCCAAAATTAAATAAAGCAAAAGATAATAATCCTAATATAAATAATAGACAGCAGAGAGCAGAGTTAAAATTAAACAATGTAACAATGACGTGCTATAACTGTGCTTATGAAATACGACCGGCATACGTACCATTTTTCATACCGATGGCAAGTACGTAAAGATTGTCGTATTATACGAATAAGGCATCACGTAAGCCAGTAAAATGACACGATTTGTACCCATCTATTACAGGTTCTAAAATACTAGGAACATTCAGTCAGCTGAAATAACTCCCTGGCTACAGCATCAGTTTTTTCCAAGATAATCAACAAGGCGATGTTGTCAGAATCTAGCCTATAATACAGAATTTTCTCGACGAGATTTTTTGACCTATAGGCATTTTATCGGAAACCCGTTTTTTCTAGAAGTCATACATTGTTGCCAATAAGTATTTGGAAATTCTTACAAATGCTGGATTCTGATACTGCTGGGGAACATTATCCACTCGCGTCACTGGAGTTTACCTGGCAAAAGAGCACCGTCGCCTTATTCTAAAGACCAAAAGAGTGTTCCAAAAAGTGATGCGACTATACTATGAACATCGCACGTAATGGTGCTTACATGCTTCTTACTCCGGAGATTGCGAAAGCCATCAATCGTAGTCCAAATATATCAATAATAAATTACTCGCCACGACTAATCAAAGATTTATCGGCGCATTGCGCCACCCCCTTGGGTCTAGTTGCCTAGAAGTGATAATTAAGCAGGTCATGGCTCCAAGGCGTTTCAAAACTTGTGGTGCCAGATGCAATTCGCATCCCTTTGTTCTTCGTTAAAGCCACATCATTCTTATTATGAACAACGTTTCATGAGCTAGCAATCATGATACTGTATAAATTCCAAAGTATAATAAAGTAGTACATTATTAATAAAACAATGTTGTCAGCAAAATAAAAACGTAGTTCACAAAGAAGTTTCCATTTAAATAAAGATTCTGTTGCATTCTACGCCTAACGCATTATTACATTAACATCAGCATTGAGTAAAACGATACGAAAAAAGTGCTACGGTCCGTTCACACGCATTCTTATGCTTTCAAAGCAAACGGCTCAAAAAATAACGCCATGTCAGTTGCTATGGTATAATTGCCCCTATTAACGTGGAAAGATGATACCAATATTCATGTTAACAGCATTATAATACTGCAACATGCAATATTTAGCAATTCATTCAAACGTTGGTAGTCATATTGAAAAAATAGCTTAAAACACGGTTTACTTATACACAATGCAAAAAACTGTAGTCAGCCCGGTGACTAACCAGTATTGACGTTTTGGCTCATGTCTCATGGGGTTTCTTCAGGTAAGTTAGTGGTGAAGTTTCGTGAATGCTGTTGGTCCTCTGAAGCAGTCGATAGTTTCAGAGCCAGAAGGTAAGTTTTCGGTCTAGGTCTCAGGCGGAAAAAGGAGGCATTAATTATCCAATCCTGCCAAAACCTCAACCGCTTCAAAAGATACGAACTATGCGCGGATTTGATGAGCCTCGTTGCCCCTGTCACTCAGAAACTATTCAATCAGCAGCACGGACCGAAAGCTTGCCTTTTGGCTCCAAAACTGTCGCTGCTGCGAACGACCAACCACAATCACGAAACTTCATCACCAACCTACCTTGAAAAAGCCCGTGAATCACTGACATTGTCAGTCACCAGACTCGCTACAGTATCTTTTGCGTTGTGTATAAGTGAACTGTGCTTTACGCTACTTTTTCAGCATACAGTATAGCATACCGTACATTGCAGTGTTGTAATGAGTCATGAAAGCTACTCTTGGATGAGCTGTGCCGACTGAACAATAGCATATAAATATGTGATATTAACGTTAGTTATATCATAGTCTTCATCTTCCATTGCCGCTTCTCCTTCCGGGTCGCGGAGGCAGACTCGTCAGACAGGGCTTCTGAAGTTTCCATAATATATATTACTAATGAAATAACTAGCATCAACATAACATAGTTATATACTAATATTTAATGCGGCACAGCGTATCCAATAGCAGTTTTCATGATGCATTGTAACATCGCAATATATAATAAACTCTATTACTAATGAAGTAAATAGTATTAATACCATATATAACTCTATATCCTCGAAACTGAAATCAGGGTTACGCCTTGTAGTGATTACCAACAATTAGGTGGGTCAAGACGAACTACAGTCGAAAGGAGCGCTCACAATGGACTGCATGGCGGTAAATCTCGTCCATTCTAGCACGACCAGACAAGAATGCCACGATATCCTTGTTATTCGAAAATCAATAACTTACTGCCATCTTCTCAGACAGTTATGCCTAAGCAACTAAGTTGGGGTCAATTAACTGCTCAATAGAATTCACGGCAAAGACAGTCATTGTCCGTTCAGCGGATTCGAATCCGGCACCTCCGGAGCACTCTTGCCAACTGTTTCGCCACCCCCATATTCACCAACTAATGTTCGATGCAACGCAACTTATACAGTACCAGTCTTCAAGACGCGCTGCACTGCTCAAGCTTCTATTTACCTAAACGACTATTAAACAGGTCATAACTCCAAGGTTTTACAGCCCCCGCAGTGCAAGACGCATTTCGCAAAATTTTATGGCTGGAGAAATGGAATGCTCACCATGAACAACGTTTACACAGGCAGAATACTTAGAACTCTCTATGATATTGTATGAACGTCAATCGTCGCTTGGTGGGCCGGAGTATCTTAAATATCGTATAATTCCCACGTGACTAAATTTAATGATCTGATATTCGAATTTCACCATACCTGGTCAAAAAAACTGTTACACAGCACATAGCATACTCCGCCGTAAAAACTCTTATTTCACTTCCATGCTGTGTAACATAATGGATGTAACCTAAACCACAGTTCGTGATGGGCATAATGCTGCTCTAAACCAAAAAGCGATGTAAGATACAATTAGCTTACAGTGGAATCTGGTCTCAGAGGCCATTTAATGTATTCCGACTCGCGAATCCTCATTCGGCATTTAGCAGATTTGTCATCTTCATCTTCCATCGCCGCTTCTCCTTTCGGGTCGCGGAGGCAGACGCGTCAGACAGTGCT